TATATATATATATATATATATATATATATATATATAAAGAGAGAGAGAGATTATGATCTTAAACAGTCCATTCATTATTTTAAAAGAAACATTTCAGTCCACCTTTACATTTAAATTTTTAAACCTTTAGAGTGGCTAAAAATATTTTGTAATCGGTTCGAGAAAAACAACCGAGTTGGCATCAAAAAATAAAAAAAATTCTAATGATGGATCAATGAACTGTCTTGCAAATATTACTTAATCCTGTAGCAATAGTAATTTTTGCCTCATCAATTTCTCAACTAAAATATTCTTCAGCTTTAACAGTACACATATATGTACACAGTCTCCATAAAAGGTTGGGGTTTTAAATAGGATATTTGGGAAATCAGACTGGCACTGCCTAAATTTAAATGTGCAAACACTGAGCTAAAGCAAAACCAGAAAATGTTGACATCTTGAAAACAGAAAAGACTGGCAGAATCTTTAAAGGGACTCTATCAAGCATTAGCAAAAGATACAGGCATAGTAAACTCCACGTCATTCTTTATAGCTGTGTTTCCTCTCTTCCCCTCAAGTATTCTCTTTTTGAGAAGTAGTACTGACATAATAGCAAAGCTCAGCTAGTCAACGCTCATGAGCAGGGTCAACAAAATCCCCACATGTGGAATATCCACATTTCCTGAAATTTATTCACATACTCAGAATCTAAATTTTAGGGCTTTTAAAAAAATGAAGTTTCTAACTTTTGTTGCTGTGTGACAGATATAACGACACACATGAAAATGACTGATTATACAGGGCAAAAGTTGAAAGCGCTGACAAATGAACAAGCAAGCCAACTGAAAAGATGGCAAAAATTCTCTCTAATCTTTCAGTTGAAGTCATCTAACTATTGTCACTTACAAGCAAAAATATACCAGACACAAGTATACTTTTTATAATATCAATATCCCTTTAAAATCCCACTTTCAAATGATACAAGAAAACAGTTATTTGAAACCAGAATGGGCCACAGAGGGAATAAAATTCCTTCATCTTAAGAGAATTCTGACCATTTCACCTATCCAGAAAAGTTTGGTGCTTGATGCATTAACCTATGTTCTGGCTTCAAGGGACAGTGAAATGAAAACATCTCAGACTACATTTTAAAGCTCCATCAACCCTGAACGTATCTAGAAAGATGCTAAGAACACTAAGAACATATTAAATCTCAGTAGAGATAAAACCTGTTGTCTGTAAGGGCTATAGTTTAAGAGGCTGCAAAGAATGTTCAGAGTATAAACTATACAATAATACTGGGTTAAGTCTGCAGGCAGACCATAGAACTGAAGTGCAACCTCCACTCATCTCAACAGAACACTACCTTCAAGGTTTAGTTACCAATATTTGGAGACTCATCTACACTACAAATTGAACCTTGCTTGGCTTTAGCACAACAGTTTCCTGATGAAAGGTGCAGCTCCAAACTTGTCATAATATGGTTCAGTCTTGTCTGTGAAGACAGGACTAAACTGCAGCATAACTACATATAACACTTGCATTTTATAACAAGATTCCCAGATAATGTACTGACATATTTAATCCCATCTACAAAGACACAAACAGTCAAGGGACCATCATGTCATAACACAGATATGACAAAGTAGGGCAAATGAAAGAAAATAAAAATAAGTCTCTATTCAGAAAACCTTAAAGATTTTTGTCAAAAATTCAAATATATTTTTATTGTATCTGCTTACGAGTAGCCCTATAACAACAAATCTGTGTCATTATTGGTGAAGGAAACAAATTATAGTAAACGCATTTCATTTTAAACTTAAATTAAAAAAAGAATTTATGAAATATGAAAGATACTTTAAGAGTGTTCCTTTTAAAAAAAAAAAAAGTCTGTCCAGGTATACTCAGAATGCCATGACCTTTCACAATTCTTCAGTCTTGGAATGAAGATGAAAAATTTTACACCATGAACTAGTTTTTTTAAAATGTAAATTGTTTATGTGACTAATACACACCTCTACCTGGATATAACGCTGTCCTTGGGAGCCAAAAAATCTTACCGTGTTATAGGTGAAACCGCGTTATATCGAACTTGCTTTGATCCGCCGGAGCGCACAGTCCCACCCCCCCCCCGAGCGCTGCTTTACCGTGTTATATCTGAATTCGTGTTATATCGGGTCGCGTTATATCGGGGTAGAGGTGTACTCTGAAGAACGTTGCTAGCTTTCCTAATGAGTAAATGGAGATTTCTCTTTTGTCTATCTGTCTTAAGTTTGTCTTTTGATGCATAGCTGACATTACCTGGCATAGTTTTCCCACTTATGTCAGCATTCATGACAGCAGTGAAAACAAAGAAAAACAAACAAATAAAAGAGAGACATTAAAGTAAAATAGAGGGGAGGGATTGCTACTTCAAACACTTCTATGAATCTCCTCCTCAGCAATATTTTTACATCTCTTAATATAGAAGTGCCCTTACATTGCACAGTCTTTTCTTAATCTTTCAAATTATTCTGTTGTGGGAATTTTGTTTAAGTACTGCTGTGCTAAACACTGGTGTATTAACTCAGGGAAATCCAAAGTTCTGCCCTTCTGAGGGCTCTAATGGGAACATGCAAGAAACCAACAAATTACATGCAATTTAATAAAGTTGCAGAAAGCTGGGCAGATCATTTTAAGATTGCACAGTTGCAGCCCGCAGGGATTTCCAGTCCCAAAACCTCTACTCAGATTAAGACGAAGCACTGGCAAGTTTCCACAGGCAAGACTCATTAGATAGATGGGCGTATTGTACAATTCCCTGGGCAACAACTGGTCAGATGAATGCGCACAGTGAGCAAGAGATATTGAGAGTCCTGACAAGAGTTAATATTTTTGTTACTTTTCTCTGCTCAATCAACAGTTCAGTAGAAGAACCACTGAAAATTATTCCTGACAGAATTCTGCGCCCCCAGATGGTCCGCATATTTCTGTGCCCCTCACGCCGAAAAATGCAAAAGAAATCTGTGGGGGGACATGCACTGTGACAGTGTACCCCATAAGGCTTTATGGGGGAGTGTGCTTATAAATGTATGTATGATATAACTGGAATAGGGTTTTGCTACATATGCCATGTAACATTTATGTAAAGGTTATGATCAACTGGTTACGTTCATCCTAGTTGTATGCAGGTACCATTTGTGTGTTCAAAGTTATGAACATTGCTTGATTTCTAAGTAGCCTTAGTTAGAACACTTGGTCACTTCTTGGGAAAGGAATGTGCAAATTAGATGCTCAATCAGGAAGCACTTAACAGACAAAAGAGTTTGGAAGGCTCCAATCCACATAAGAAGTCTTCCTGGAAACATACAAGATACCATGTGGACAATGGCGTCTGCCTGTAAAGACTGAGTCATGGACATGTGACTTGCCCAAGTGACTCCAGAACTCCATCTTGGAGCTGGACTTTGCATAGGAGTGAGGAGGGGGGGTCTCCACTCACAAGAGAAAGTCTATTTAAACCCGTGGGAGACACCTCCATTTTGTCTTCAGCTGGCTAAAGAAGGAGCCTCTCCACCCCCCCAGAATACTGGAAGGAAACTGGAACAAAGGACAGTAACTACAGGGGGTGTGAGTGATTGCTGGACCCAGGCTAAAAGGAGATTAGCCTGTAAAAGGGAGCATAGACTCATAGACTTTGAGCGAGCATTCTGGAACTGGTGAGGATCTTATCTGTATTCAGTGTTTGATTAGACATAGATTTGCGCATTTTATTTTATTTTTTGCTTGGTGACTTACTTTGTTCTGTCTGTTACCACTTGGAACCACTTAAATCCTACTTTCTGTATTTAATAAAATCACTTTTTAACTTATTAATTAACTCTGTTTCAGCATGCCTGGAGCAGCCTCAGAGACTCAGATCGCTGCCCAGGAGGGAGAGGGGGAGGAAGGGGACTAGGCGTAGGAGACATTGATCACAGTCGGGGGAAGGGCTGGGCGTGCATGTGTGCCAACAAGCAAGGAAGACTCTGTCCCTCTCACTTGCTACTGTGGCTCGCTGGGCGTGGAGTGATAGGGCTTTTTATTATGCTGGAGGCAGAAATGTAGCAGCCTGCCTGCTACTTAATTGATCTCATTCTCTGAGGCAGAAATGTAGCGGCCTGCCTGCCTAGTAACATTGTTAATATTCCTATTGTTAGATAACTGTTCCCATTCTCAGTCAGTTGCTCTAGGACCATAAAACCTGTAAAAGTTTTAAGGCCCCTACATTGCCAGAGTCAGGTATAGCCTTATAAATGACAGTAAGGGAATCATCTAGGAAGATCTATGTGCTTTCTCACTTTTTTTCCTGTGCCAAAGTGGCACAATGGGGTTAAATTACAGCTCAGGATTTATTTTACCCACCCAAATTT